ACCTTTAGCCACTATCCCACTCTGAATCACTTGAGGAAAACTTTCCCATCATATTTGCAATGCAGAGTGTTGTTGAGCTGCTAGTGTGTATCCTATATAAACTAATATCAAATTCTTTGTCTGAGTGTGGATCCTTATGTAGCTAAAGCATTACCATACATCCACAAGAGGGAGATTTCAGCAGGCTTGGGGGAAGCCCAAGGTTCTTAGAGATTTTGAAAATAATCAAGGGAAAATTCTAAAGGAGCGGGCAGTAGGCATGGAAAGCTGACTAATTTCTAGAGGGTGGATGACAGAAAAGCAGGGGTTTTCTGAATGGAGTATAGATGAATAGATTGGAGTACCCCAAAACAGACATGCTGGTTGGCTGGCTAGAATACTTGAACAGGAATATTCCCACCTGGAACTGCTTATAGTAAACTGCTGAAATTGTGTTTGATTTAACATATTTTCTTAGCACTGAAAGGAAAATCATCCCCTATTACAGATACCTTGTTAGGCATTTCTACGACATGGAGTTGTGGTTGGTTAAAAGTGATATGGAAGCAGGAATATGGAAATTCCATTAAAGAAATGATGTCATCCCATTAAGGAAATTTTAGTCAATTAACTGATTTTTGTCAATTAACAGTGCATTGATTCAATATCCAATGCACATATTTTGTACTTAGAGAAATCGCATTAGGTGAACATTCTAGCCAGCCCATCCAGCCTTGTTCTTCCTCCTACATTGCCAGCATCCTTGGCAGAATAACACCCTTATGTGTTACAACTGCTTACCTGTTATAAATTTAGATTTATAGTTATTAGGAGAATCTGTGGAGAGAAGAGTGAAACTGCACATTTTCAGAGGAGTGTCAAATTTTTAATTGCATAAATAAGATGCTGACTTAAGCAAGTGCTCAATTTCACACCACTAAAGTAGAGGATTCATAAAGGCCTAGATTTGCATAATTTAATTTTCTGCACAGAAGATACTGGAAATCAATAGCATGATTCATAGCCATCCCATAGAATTGCCATGCTGCCATTCTTTGACTACTCAGACTCCGAGTACAAAGGATTTTACAATTGATTAAATTTTGAGTGCTGACAGAGTGTTTTCTTCTCAGAATCTATAAACTGTTTTAAATCTGTTCTCTTCACCCCCGTGCCATTAAAAAGTCCTGCAGAAGGCCTGTGACTAAAAAATTATTAGCCACTACATTTCCTTATCCCAGAAAAGTGGCAGTCATCTTGTGCACCAAACTGCATCTCTGTTGGTCGGAGGAACTTGTTTGGTTTCATCTTCCTACCTGGACTGGGGTTGGGGGTGAGGAGGCAAGGAGAAGCGAAGTATGCCTGGCTGCAAATGTGGCCCTGAGGTTTTCCACCTACTTCCAATTGAAAGGGCAATTACCCATCTTCTAAATATGAATATTCATGGAACAAGATCAGCATTTTAAGGTGCAATTGTTTATATTTAGTCAGAGAAAAGACCGACTTCTCACGACATGCATGTTCCTGTGTTAAAGAAGTGCACAGAATAGCCATTATGGCTTGCAGAAATGTCATTGTTGATATTTTTAGAAAAGCGTACACTGATATTGTTCAAATGTCCTTTAGATATGTCCACTTAACAAAAGTATGTTCTTATCATATGGTCTCCAGTTAGAAGTAGATATCTGCATGAAATATGCCTTTCTGAAAGAGATTGAAGTTGTTCCAGTAGTAAGGCTGAAAAATAGGCATTAAATGGTCTCACATTTAGTATTTAAAAATATTCTGAGTATAGATCTAGATGATATGGCTACTGGCTCCACCACACTATTTGGGAGTAGTCATGATGAAATTATTGACAACGGTATGGACTACATGTTTTGGAAGAAGCTGGAGAGTTACATGCATCTCCATTCACTAGACTATGGTACTCTATTTAACTTCTTTTAATTATTTTAAAACTGGAACATCCCTTAAAATTAATCTTTGCTTTTGCTTACATAAAAATGCATGTTTTTCTTAACTTCTATTTACTACCTAATATAGAACCTGTATGTTTTGTTTGAGGCTGGGACCTTATTTGGGTAACTTCTGGATTTTATATGCTTGAAAACTGAGGAATCAGCCATTGTGCATTTCTTCCTCCTAACTTCTGGGTTTAGCCCTGAACCTGGATGCCAAGGTTTTGGTGGTGTCCAGCAGTGCATTTTCCTAACTAAAATTAGTGCATCAACTCTGCCCATTCTGTCTGATTTAGCCATACTGGCTCATCATCACATCGCACTGGCCTCACCTTGGGCTCACCACCTTCACAGGCATGTTTGGTGAGAATGCAGGGGAGGGCCATGGCTACCTGAAAGCTCTGGAACTGATTTCCCAGAGTAGGTAGTTTGGCCTGTTATTTTTTCGAAAGCCAGCAAAAACTGCTGGCAGGAGTTTGGGAGTAGTCTAGACCTGTGAGATTGTGCGTTCTCTCTGTTATCAATTTTGTTTTTACTGCTTTTTTATTTTATTTTATATAATTTTAATATTCTAGCTGATTTCATTATATTTTAACTTCTATATATTTTGTTAATTTTTAATTGTATAAGTTTATCCATATGCAATTATATATTGTAAGTCACCTTGAGTCCCAGTATTGGGAAGAGGCAGAATAAATCCGTTATCCACATGTAGCCTGAATGCTTCATAACATCTAGCAAAGTCTAATCTAATTTAGTTTCCAACTTCCTTGCTCCATCTTGGTACTGGTTGAAATACAGACCTGATACCTGTAACATCTATCCAGTTTAATTGCCTTGCTTGTTTATTTTCTTCTTCCTCCGTATATACCTTAATTCACTTATCAGCCAATTTTTGTCGGAGTTCTGGATAATGCAAATGCTTGCTCATTATTTTGTGGCATTTTGGTTGCTATTTCCTGACTGTGAATTTTGGCATTTGTATTATGGAACAATGTGTGTGCCTCACCATTTTATTTTATTTAATACTAATGGAAGCAGTGATATATGTGGAAAAGCAGTAACTGGAATGAAAATAGTTCTAAATGTTTGCAAGTCCTGCAAAATTCATGACTGAAGAAGAAAAAGACAAAAGTGAATAGAAAGGGCACACTGTGTATCTGAACATCAGACAAAGAAGAAGCTTGGTGTTCCTTCATTCCCTCTGGAAGGATCCACCTCCAACTCAGAGGCCTCAGTGGGTCCCCTCGGGTGGATGCACTCCACTCCTGGATCAGATGTTGAACCTGTAATTTTTTGTTCTATATGTGATAGCTTATGGCTGACACAAGTAAGATGTATGGCTGACTGACCGATGTTGAATTAGTAATCCCAGCACTGGGTGCATGTAACTCGGCCCAGAAACTCCCTCAAGTGAATCATTTTGCACGCAGCCTAGGAAACTCCTAGGTTCCTCCTGGGGCAGGGCTTGGCCTCTGAGTCCTGGCTGCTGAATGTCCGCTGTCACCTTTAGTCTGACGTCAGAGATAACTGTGGGGATTCTCCTATGTGCGGCTGCATACTGGGCAGCTTGCATCTGTAGTGATCCACTCCGGCTTTCACTAGCCATTCCACACAGTGAGTTCCCATTCTAGCCACCCTCTTAACTAGCTTGAGATTTTTCTGAATTAGTCATTGACTAGCCTGACCTGCCCCCCCCCATAATTACACCTGCAATTTATCTCTCCCCCCGCCCCAAATTCTAAATAGAAGTTTCATATTTGCATGCACTTTATGTATACTGGGCTTTCAGCTGTGTGTTGGGTAAACGTTCCATTTTCCAGCTAGCTTTCCGGCATATTGAACTCGCACACCTCCAATATTGTTCAGTCAGCTGTAGAGAAGCAATAAACAAAGATTTGCATGCCTAAAGTAGCTCTCACAATGCCAGGCTCCCATTTAAAGCAAATAAGAGTGTTATGATTAACATCTCTCGCAAACAGCAGAACATCTCTGGGGTATAGTGTAGCGAGCTTCCTCCCTCCCCTTTTATTGTTGTTAATATTGCTGATAAATTTGGTTTATTTAATTATTGAAGGCATGCTTTGTTTGACATTGGGTTCTGGACCGTAGGAGGTCTTGGACACCTGATAAATAGAAGCAGATCAGAATGAAGATGCCTATGCTTTGACTGGAAAAGGAGGAAATGGCCCTTTTGCTGCAACATTGTGGGCATATTATTTTACCCCTTTGATGAGATATATTTTATTAACTCAGATTTGCTTTTAGGTAATTAGAAATTCTAATCATGTATCTGTAAATGAATTAACATATTCAAATTAGTCATGGCTTCTCTTTGGAACAGGGTGCGTGGCTTGTTAGAAGTATGGCTGTGTTCTGACCAACTCACAAACAGGACATGATGAGATGGTTTATTGGCTTTCCCTTTAAGAGTCTTCTGATCACAAGATACAGGGAATGGTGTCTTTTCATGTACTGTCTGTTTCTTTCCTTTTTGCCTTCAACCCGGTGAGCATTAGGCAGTGTTGCATAGGAGGCAACACTTCAACATCCCCATTTGGCATCCTTTCCTAACTTGGTCCTCTGGCTTTATCAGGAAAGAAGAGATGGAAAGAAAATAGATTAGAATTTTATTCAGCAGTAGTGTGCCTATCTTAGAGGTGTTTTTAAGAACCTGAGAAGTGGTGGTAAGCCCACGTGACTAAAAAGACTTCATGCACTTGATGTTTTCTTTGTTCGAGAGTAAATTTTTTCCTCTTGGCATTTGTAAGGAGAGTTGGCTTATTGCTAATGGGTTATTCATTGCACTGTGTCAGGTTGATCTGGTAAAGGTGTCATCTCTGATAGTACATTTGGTCTGCCAAGGGAGGGAGCAGAAAAAGGAGTTCTGTCACACAGATGATTAATTCATCAGTGTAATAACTGTGCTTCAGTTCTGTATAGAGCCGTATAGAGGCTGTTGATCTGCTGATCTAATAATTCTAATAATGCTTAAATGATTTAATTTTCAGTCAGTGAGTGTCACTTGGCTAATTGCTTCTGCTTCTTTTTTCCCCTCAGCTTTGACTGAAGGTTATGATGGCTCCCTGCATGAAAGCAGACATGGCAGTTCAGTGCAAATCCGGCGGCGAAAGGCATCTGGGGATCTCTACTGGGCGTACTCAGGTGAGTGGGGCTGGACAGGGCGGAACAGAACAGTGTGTGAATAGAGGTAACAAGTTGAACGGTAATTGTGTTTAAGAATCTAAAGAGGAAACATGCTCACTCAGGAAAGAATCACACAGGCAGAACGCTGTCCGTCGCTGTTCCAAGCTTACCACTAGTCACTACACCAGGCAGCTGAGTTTTGATTTCCTTAAAGGGCAAACTATTGCTGGTTATTTAAATCATTGTTGTAGTTTTAGAACTGTGAGTAAAGTGGCTGTGGGTTTTTCTGCTTGGTTACCAAGCTGCCTGTGGATAACATGCACCTTGACTGGAAGTGTGTAGGTGCACTTGCTCTATGTGCTGCTCCTCTGTGGGCAGCGAAGTGCCTTGGGCTGCTCCTCTTTGCTTACCTCCATTGCCAGAGAGTGAGCTTGAGAAGAAGCAAAGTGGAAGCCCTGCCAGCACGTGAAGTTCTCTCTCTCTCCTCTCTCTTCAAGTTTGGCCATTGTGTGTGAATGAGTAGTATTATTTTGCAAGAACAGCCATTCTGTTGTTGCTCCAGCAGGCTTTTCTTCCCTCACTGCGGCTGCCATTCATACCAATCTAAAACTTCTAGTGAAGTGTTTTGATACTTGTCTTTCATTATGCATCTGGCTGCTGCATCCAGATTGGCTGTGCTCTTCAAGAATCCTTGCCCTTCCCTCTTACCGTCCACTGCTTTTTAATAAAGACAGTGTGTGCTATTAATCTCTGTTAGAACAGTCTTTGTTCCTGATGGATACCCACCTCTGAGTTCTTCATCTGTAGCTTTATTGCACAAGGCTCTGTCACACAACCCATTTTCTTCTATTGTCCTGTTAAAGGTTTCATCATTGTTACCTCTTTGGCTACAACTGTTCCATTCCACTATAGCGTGTGACTTTGACTTTGCAATCACTAGGGCAAGCACAAGCTCTTTCCATAAGTTTCCTTAAATTCTTAATTCACCCAGGACCCAAAGGATCAGTCTTCCTACTATATATTTCATTTTGAGACAATGTTCGGCAGTCACTGGATCTGAAGAGTACTAACATCTAATATTTATGTAGCATCTGCTCAGTGCTGTATAGAACTTCACAGCTTCCTGGACTGCCAGGTGGTTAAGCTCTACATTAAATGAATGAAGTGGGGATGTGGTGAAAGTTCAGCAATTGCAAAACTTTGGCAATGAACTGCATCCTTTGGTGTATTATCAAATTATGTTGTATGGCATGCAGAAAGCAAAATTTATTTAATGTGGAGGTGTTTATTTTTCCATCTGTTCAGGAGAGCTATAAAGATCGGTCAAGAATCCAAGATGACTTTGGGAAGCTTTTGACCATCATGTGAATAGTAACTTACATATATATTTCATCTTATCTACAGAAGAGAACATAACAATGGTTATATTTTAAACATTTATTTGAAAGATGTAATGACCTACCTTGGACATAACATGATGCCAGGAAATGCATGAGTGTAGTGTCTTTGTGTCCTATGCCTTTTCTCTTTGTGCTCTGTGATTTAAATTATTTTGGGTTGATTAATCATAGTTCTTGCTCTAGTCCAAAACAGAACACTATGATTGCTAGGATCCAAACTTTGTTTCATTAAAAGCTCGGTCCTAAGGGATGGATGCTCAGTAGATAGAGGGCTGTGGTCTTTTAGCTCTTTGTCTATCCAAAGTCCTTCCTACTCCCATAGTCCCTCATAATTCACTGTGCTGCCTCAGGCTAGTGGGAGTTGTGTCCCTCCAGATATATTTGCCTGCAAATTTGCCACCTCCAATGTAAAGCATACCACAACCATATGATGCTTTACTCCACCATGTGCCCCCTCGCCTTTTTTCTTTCTTTTTTGTCTTTTGCTTTCCTCCCTGCATTCATGGCTTAGGATACTTTGGCTTCCGAATTAAACATCCAAGCAGGGCTAAATAGCACTCCTCATTGTGGTGCACATACACAAGATTATGAAAGCTGGACTAATTATCCCTTTAACACACTTGTGTCTACCAAACTATTTTACCCAAGTAGTACAATTAAACACTCGTAATAGTGTTTGCCACTTAGTTTCATTGCATGCCTGTTGAAGTGAGAATTGTATTCTGCAAGATGGAGAAACCAGTTATTTTGGATAAGAGACCTGAGTCAGGTCTGCTTGTGACTCATGTTGTTTGGGACCTTGTCATGTGCGTGTGCGCGCACACACACACACACACACACACAAACACAATGGGTACTCTAAAAGAAAAAAAAATGCTTCCTTTAGGGGAAAGGCAAAGAAAGGTTTTACATGCCACCTTTGCAATTCAAAATGATTTGAAACATTTTCATTATAAAAGCTTTATACAGCAGATGAGACATTCTTCAACTATGCTGTCACAGAAGCCTGCACATTGTTTCCCCACCTGTGTTTCATGTCCTATAGACAAAATGTCTGTAGTTTCTAAATATTTTAAAGAAAACAAAACACCACCATCACAACAGTTTTCTCTTATGGGAGCTGCGTGCCAGCAGTAGGGGAGCTAAAGCAGTGCCTGGTGCCTGTTCTTGTTTCTCTCTCTCTGTCTCTTTGCAGACTCCCCTCTTTCTGCATACACTTTCTCTTTCTTTCACCCTTTGCCAGACCCCTTTCTTTCCTTTCTCACACCCACTTCTTCCCCTCCTAGAGGGCTTTTGAGGAAAGCCTAAATCAGGCCTGGAAGAAGCCTTGCGGAGGGCTTTTGGAATCAGGCGGAGGAGGGATGCAGACTGCCTTCCCCTGCCTCACGCCCGTTCACCAGCCATGGTGCATTTCTCTCAAGAGCGTCCTGCCCTGTGTTTGTCCCCATTCTGCCTTCTTCACCCATGAATCCCTTGCACCCCAACTCAAGGGATCCACATCTCTCTGTCCTGTAAATCTGATCATGTAACAAAGCAGAACATTTCATCATCATTTTTCAGTTGCATAGCTAAAAATATTGGGCACAATTGAGCTTATAAGTTGAGCATGCTATGCTCACATTTTATTGAAAGCAATGAGATTTAAATTAACTTCACTCTACTCTGGAATTATGCCCATTGTCATGATAAATCTATATTACATCTTAAATATATTTCACATTTCTAAAATGATACAATGGAGCAAGAGCAGAGATTTTAAGTTAATAAACAGTTGAAACGGATGGTCTGTTCATACCTTTTTGTCTTACCAGAATGAAAATGGAACTGTAAGTGATAAATGGCATATTTATTTAGTTTTTATTACTGAAACTATGTTTGGAAGATTAATTTTATCCTTTTATAGCAAAGAAAGGCTTTAAGAAAGCATTTAGTCACATATTTCAAAACTCTTTTAAGTAGTTTGCATTTCTGGATAGTTTATTGCTAACTGGTGATGCATATTATTAAGCTTTTCTTTGTGTGTGACATCTTTTCCTCTAGCAAAGCTTAAGCTCTTGTTTTTATTTTGGTAAAGAATCCCCATCCCTCCAAATAGATATATACCTGACTCCAAAGGGAACAAAAGCAAAAACAACTCTTGGCACTTGTTTTCTCACCAGTTCAGGCAAGAGGGATCCCATATTGCTATAGCATTCCATTCCCCACCTCTTCTCTCATCCTCCTGGGGGAAAGCAGAGTGGTGCACTGTAATTTTCCCATTCCACTGCCTGATGACAGCACCTCACCCAGCTTTGTAGATAGGCCATACCTTTGTCCAATTCCTTAATGTACATGTATATAGGCAATAAGTAATTACATGTTTCCTCCTCTGTGCCATTCTTTTTTCTAATGGAAAAATCTCCAGATTCTACTGGGCACTGGGGGAAAAGCCAGTCTCTGTTTGTATGCAATTGGTGGTGATTTCCCCATTGGCATTAAAATGGAGTTCCACCTGATTTGTGTTATCTAATTGGAACCTTTTGGATTACCATTGCTGATTTTTTTAAGAGAGAGAGATTTAAGAGAGAGAGATTAGTTAATCAGTGTTTTACAAGGAACCAAGGGGATCTACAACTTAGCTGTAGAGGTGTCTGGTAAGAGCAGCAGTCTGAAATGATCTCCATTACTCTCTACTTCCCGCATTCCTTTTTCTGGTGACCAGTTGTGCAATAATGGTACTATCAGAACAGCATAACAACATTAGAACAGTAAGTTCACTGTAATGGAAAGATCTGTAACGGTTTCAGAAGTCACATTGGAAGCTCTTCAAAGAGCATCTGTGGACAGGCATACCACAGCTACTTATATTGTCATATGGGGATGGAGAGGACTCAGTCAAGGCAAAGTCAACTGTCGGTCCCACCTGAAATATCCCAGTGTTTCCAGCTGAACTGTTGGTCAGATGCTGATACCTGCATCTGTGAATGAGGCAGCTAATTAATTTTATTTGTTTTTATATTTGGATCCCAACCTTGCCCAGGTACTGGCTAATCTAAACAATTCTTTTTGAGAGGAACTATTTCAGGTGTCTCACGTTGCCCTCTGATATGATTCCAGTTAAAAATGCTGGTATTGACCTTTAAATATTAGATAGCATAGAACAGAGTAACTGATTGAGCACTTGCCCATTCTGAACCTACCTGTAAACCATGATCAGCATGTCGGGACCTCTTCCAAGTGCCCCCTGCAAGGGAAATGGAGAACGGAAACGAGAGAGAGAGAGAGAGAGAGAGAGAGAGAGAGAGAGAGAGAGAGAGAGAGGGAGAGCGCGAGTGCGAGCGAAAGTGCAAGTGAGCACTGATGGAGACCCCTTGATATTGGAATTCTTCTCACAGTAAGGACTTCCTGGAACCAACATTGCTGTCTTTTCAGAACCAGGTTAAGACTCCCAGGTATTTGAAGGAATATGATGGGCTTTTAGTGGCAGTTATTCCACTGAGTCTTGATATTTTATTTCTCTAGCTTTCTTAAATTGTTTAAAAATTTGTATGTTAAGATGTGTGTATATTCTACTTTATGATTCAATTTTTGTGAACCATCCTGAGAGATTTGGCACTTTGGCAGGGTAGAAATGAAACA